ACAAGGTAAAAACATAATTATCTAACATAATACAGTCAAATAAATATATTTATTTAATAGACCGAACGATTCAACAAAATTCTAAAATTGCTTTTAGTCTATGCATTTTATCATAATGGCAGGTAATATAAATACTACACTCAAGTTAGTGTCATATTTTAATGATTATAAAAATTATTATTGCTAAAATTAATGATAAATCAAAGCATGCATATTACACGTTTATCAACAGTTCTCTTTTAAATACTCTAATGCATCCTTCTTTTTCAGTTTTTTACTTAAATATGTGTACATATTGAAAACTTGTAACAGAAGGCTTTGTCAACTGCCAAATCTATTTTCTTTATGATGGGCAAAAGATAATATCATGATAAAAATTACGTAACAAGACGTTCTCAAGAAACTGTCATTAATCTTCTTTTTGATAATAAAAATAGGTGTACCGTTTTATGAATAATTATAATAATAATAATAATATTAATAAATATATTATTATTTCAAGGTAATACAACTCAAGATTTAATAATGCATGTAACCATAATAATAATGCGGAATTAAACTTTACAAGATCTTGAATTCAATACAACTCAAGATTTAATAATGCATGTAACCATAATAATAATGCGGAATTAAACTTTACACGATCTTGAATTCAATACAACTCAAGAATAAAACGAACATACATTTGTCAGTCATTGGATTAGAGAAGTTGAGAAAATACCCCTAATAGTTGAACCTCTCTTAATTAGGATGACTATAAAACTTAGAGTGATGGAAAAATACTCATGATATGAAAGGGGAGTCACTCATCCTTATATAAAGGAGAGAAGAGGGTCAGATAAACTCTATCAGAAAAATTCTTATCCATCAAGATTTCCTTCTTATCTTAGAAGAGTAATTATATTAAAATTCTAATTACTGAATTTTATATCAAATATTGACTTTATCTAATTGTGGAATCTAAATAAATTAAAACATGTAGATATATATAGACTATTATGTCATACTAGAAAATAAATCTAACAAAACAATGAACTCCTATAACCCTATCCCTCATTCTAGATCTAGTAACAATACTTCTCGTCATTTGCTATGTATGCTTGCCGTTGCAATTTTCTTTCTTGTTTTCTTGATCCAAGAATACAAAAGTTTCTAGGCCCATACCAATGACTCATTATCCAAATGGGTCTAGAATTCGATCCCAAACCTGTGATACAAACAAACTACCAAAAGATTTAATCAGTTAAGCTAACAAAACCTCAAATGCCATTTTCCTAAATTTACTTAGAAAATTTTAATGAATTTTGAAATTGTTCAAGTTTTGCATGTTTAGCTTTTAAATTCCATATAATAGAATTGTATTTAATTTTGTAATTAAATTCTTTCATGTAAAAGAACTTTGTTCGCTTCTATATTTGAATTCTATAGAAATAGAGAAACCACTCTATTTTGATTTTAAGTTTTCAAAAATAGTTTTTGATTTTTTGATTTTTGCAATTATTTTTTATTTTTAATGAATTTTTAAAATATTTTAAGCAAATATGAAACTATACTAAATTTTTGTGTTTTTTTATTTAGTGATTTTTTTTTTAAAAAAATAAAAATAAAATACTAGATTAAGTGTAAGAAATAAAAAAAATAATTAAAATATTAAAATAAGTAACTAAAAACAAATAAAAATTAAAAACTCAAAAAAAAAATGAAAATTAAGAAGAATTCCTCACTGCCCGAAATCCCTTAGCCCAAATTTGCCCAACTCACAGGTGGAAGGCCATATCATCAAACCAAAGCCAACTGAGCACGCCCCATCACCAATAATTTCCATAAAATTATAGATTGATCCCAAAAACCTGAAAAATTTACAAAAAAAAAACATAAATAGTTATTAAAAAAATTGTAAAAAATTATATTTTCATGTAAACTTATAAAAATTATAAAACCAATAAGTAATGCAAGAAATATATAATTTTAACAAAAGAACAAGATTTTTTTTTTTAAAAATAATTATTGTCCAAAAAGAAAAAAGACTTGTAAATGTTGAGCATGTAGATAAATAGGTACTTTGTTAATCAATGCAAAAATAAGAAGAATAATAAAATAATATAAGCCCTATCCCTGTAAAGGAAGCAATCCAGAAGAACCATTTGAACTATTTACAATCAAAAAGATAATGGAATTAATAAATATGGTCTAAACAGTTAAAAGAAATAGCTAAAAATGAAAATGATGATGCAAAATAATATTAGAAATAGCTGAACAATTAGATATGGTACTTCATTGCCGCCGCCGGCTCCCACTTCGGCATTGTCTTTCCATTTATCTTCTCTCTTCTCTTTCTTTCTCTCTACAAATTTAAATCTCTCCACCACCTCACAATCTTCTCTTCACAAACCCTAGAACCCAAATCTACCATCTCCTCACTTTCTGACACCACCACACCGCTTCCTTCCACTCCAATGATCGTTTCATCACTGCCAACTTTGTCCATGTATTCGACGCCAAGTTCCGAACCCCCCTCTGCCACTTTCACGACTACGTCCACCCTGTTGACCTCGTCCACTATCATGAGGATGAGTCCTTGATCTATTTGCTGAAGAATAATTAGTGGGTGATCATGGATAATAATAAACTCATGGATCTTGAGAAATTTAGAGGACCTTCTGAAATTTCTCTAGACATATACCAGAGAAATTTTACTAGACCTACACCAAGTAATTTCTCTAGACCTATATCTAGGGTTGTAATTTTGGCCCAACCCTTATCGGACCCTTGCAGGCTCCCACCAAAAATCGGGTCGGGCCAAGCCGGTCCGACCCGCAGGCCAGAAAACTAGGCTTGGGCCCAAGCCTAGGGGTATTTGGGTTTTGGGTGGGTTAGCGAGGCTGGGCCGCTGGGTCTATGCCTGGGCTCGGGCTTTAGGCGGGCCTAAATAAAAATTTTTAATTTTTTCTACCAAAATTTTATTATTTTCCATTAAAAATAACACTGGACCTCGGGCGAGCCTCGAGCTGGGCTTTTAAGTGGGCCTTGAGCGAGCTGAGCCAAGTAGCCAGGCTTTAAAACGATGGCCAAGCCCAGGCCCAGGCCCACCCTGGGCCGCAGGCGGGCTTCGGGCCACTTATGAGCCACGGGCCGTTTTTACATTCCTACCTATATCAGAGAATTTGGAGGATTTGTTGAAATTTCTCTAGACCTATACCAGAGAAATTTCACTGGACCTATACTAGAGAATTTGGAGGACTTGTTGAAATTTCCCTCGACTTATATTAGGGAAATTTCACTGGACCTATACTAGAGAATTTGAAGGACTTACTGAAATTTCTTCGGACATATATCCAAAGAAATTTCACTAGACTTATACCAAAAATTTCTCCGGACTTATACCAGAGAATTCGGAACACTTGTTGAAATTTCTCTGGGCTTACTAGAGAAATTTCACTAGACCTATATCTGAAATTTCTCTATCATATTTACTTACATGTTGAGTTTTTCTAACACATTTGATTTTTCTCTGAAATTTCTTTGCAAATGTAGTCAGATAAATTTATTTGCACGTTGATTTTCTCTAACACATTTGACTTTATCTTAAATTTCTCTACAAATGTAGTCAGAGAAATTCATTTGCATATTGATTTTCTCTAACACACTTGACTTTATCTGAAATTTCTTAGTTAGAGAAATTTAATTGCATGTTGATTTATAACTTAGTGAAATTTTGTCAATCATTATTATTATTATTATTGGTGCTGAATCTCATTTTCTTCAAGTATCTTGTTTGATAGATATCAACGAGAGCTTTCCAAAAATATATTTTTTGTTGAAAACGGACATCTATCAAAAGTTATTAAATTTTTAAGTCTTAAAAAATTTTAAAAAGTGAAGGATGTTAAACTAAATGTAAACGCAATGATATTTTGGTCAAATAATTTTAGAGGGAAGAGGTGCATATTTTTGAGGGACCTAAAATAGTATGACAATTTTGGGTGTCCTTTGTCTTCTAAAATTATAATATTAGAGACCTTAAAAAAAATTGTTATTTTAAAAATATAAATTAAATTAAATTACGTTTGCACCATTTTAGCAACATTATCAAATTATACTATTTTAACCTCATAGATGATAAAGTAAGGGATTGGACCGTCTCCAGTCCGTAATTAGACTGGATAGTTCAGTCCAGCTCAATAGATTCCGTTTTGATGATTCGAACCATTCACATTTTAGAGTTCGTCGAGTACATTATCCCTGCAAAAAATCAAGTTGATCAAATAACAAAAACCACGTATTCGAATCAATTTTATATGAACCTTATATTTTCTCACTCTTTTTTTTTGGTCATACAAAATTATCCAAAGCATATGATTTCCGTTATCCGATTGACTTGATTTTGGTAGAGATTATATACTCAACGAATCCTAAAATATAAACAATCCAAATTATTGAAACAGAACTCAAAAATAAATCGACAAAGCTCAACAACACCCCTCCAGTCCAATAACACCTCTCTAATCCAATAGCGGAGCGATGAGTTCTATTAGTAAATAAATTCACTAAAACTATTTTATTTTTCAAAAAACCATTTTTCCTTCGTATTACTTATATCTTGTCAATCAAAGGCTACTTATTCTCTCTATTCAGACCTAACAGTTCATATTTAGGCCAAGTTTGGCAATCCTAAAAAAAGTCAAAAAGTTAAAAAGTTACTCAAAAAGTTAAAAAGTTATCACTATTCATCAAAAGTAAAAAATTACGACTGCACAACTCTCAATCCTAATTTTTCTCTACACACTAATTTATACAATTTTTTAATACACTTTTTTATAAAAAATCAAAAAATTTACCCAAACATCCATATTTTTTTCCTCAATTTTTTAGTCTAAAAAGACAAAAAGTACACTTATTTAAGACACCCCAAACAATCTCTTAATTTGTTATATTATGCACCAAAACTACGTTAGTGCACCATAAAAATGTAAACAAAATTGCAGAAATTAAAAACAATATTTCATAGTAATAACCATCCCAACCATGTCAATTTTCTCATCTCTTAAAAAATGTTAGGGATAAAAGTGAAAGTAACACCAAACATCACTTCTCAAGTATATGAAATGCTACTCATACAAAATCCAGCACATATATACCAGTTAATTCATAATGATACAAGAAGGTTTGTGCTGACTAAGGAAGCTTTCAATCCTTCTTGTCTCTTGGTAAAGTAAATATCCTGGAGAAATATTGGGATGTCACAAAAATTATCTTCTAGTAGTTGTCTCCGAGCCCCAAAAAATTGCTGATATATGACACTGCTAGCTATAGTCATTAGGGTTTTCTTTGTTCCGAATGAGCGGGACACCATCTTCCCTCCAAATTATTCGCTCTTCACATAATGCCGTTGCTACCTCCACATATAATTCATGCTCCTGACATAGAAATAAAAGGCGCATCAACAACTATATTACATCATAAACAAAAAAGAGCAAGAGTATTTAAAATGCAATATTCAACCATAAGGGCGGGGGTAAAATATTTATGGTTAATATACGATCATTTGTCACTGTAGCCAGATCTTGGTTTTGTCATTGCCCCAAAGTCAAATTGGCTAGCAAGTGTCATCTCAGCTACCAATGCCTGCTTAGTTTCTTTTAAAATGATTGAAACAACTTCAGACGATGGCAATGCATAGGAAAACTAAAGCGGAAACAAGAGCAATAACAACTCAAGACCTTCTCAAGAACCCTTGCAGCCAGCTCATGTGCAGTATCATTAGTGAGTACAGGTACAACTCTTTGAGCAAGGATACGCCCTGTGTCATAATGTTCATCAACAAAATGAATTGTAGGACCCGAGTATCTGGCAGACCCAAAATTAAATGATGTGAGAAATTGCACAAATGCTGTAATCAGAACGGAAATATAAAGAGATGGCTAAATGAAAGATGAATTCAGTAGTTGGTTGAAGGCAAAAGTAAAGAAGATAAACGAGAAAAGAAACCAGGTAAATGTGATCATGTTTCTTAAATCCATAAGTTTATTTTAAAACAGACCTAAAGGGTCTTCAAGAAGATCAAATAAGTAGAAGCACATGGAACGAACTGAGAAGATTTGATCCCTTATGCCATAGAATCACAGTACTGGATTCCATAAAATAGTCAATAACTCAAAAGTGTTGAATGCCATATTATGAGCAAGAAGAGTATTTCCAAAGATCACTTGCCACAATATAATACAAATTCTTCAGTTGATGCTATACAACCAAATGCTTTCATGACCTCAAATTTCAAGGAATATTTTTATTATCAAGTTATCAAAGCTCTCATCCATCATTGCATTGTGCCCGTTCATTCTAAGGAAACTCACAACCTCAAAAGAACAGCCAATCACAAGCTCATTGCTTGGAAAATCACAACAATGTGTCAGATTCAAAATAGTCTGGAATTCAGGAGATGTTCAAAACAAGACATCTACCACCTACCTGCCCATAATTTACCCTAAAAATTTAAAGTTAGTTCAAGTAGGAAATTATAAGCAAACTGCTGTTTTAAGTGAAAAAGACACAAACCAACTTGGCTTTCTGAGAAGTTCTTTAAAAGCTTAACTTCAAAATTTATCAACTTTGGATGGCAAAATTGTAATCAAAATCAAGTCACATTCTTGCGAAATGTATATTGTAACTCATCAAATACATGATCCTAGCAACCTGTGCAATTGTGTTACCCTAGCAAAGCAGTCAAATAACTTCAATATTGTGAATTTATCCACATGAGAAACAGAAATTTGGGTTGGACAGTAAACAGAACATGGGTCTGTATAACAGATGCAATTTGTAGTGATATGACAACTGAATCCATAAGGTCAGAGATGCAAAGGCAGTTCCATTATTCTTCAAAATTCACAAGCATATAGAAAGAGTAACAAATTGGACAAAAGAATTGGAGGATGAGTTAAAACAAGAACTGCAAATCAACTGATCTGCCCTTTGGCAATTTTGGTGCTGACTTGTTAAGAAGCTTCTTGGGAATTTTCACTTATTCAATGATGTCAAGCTGAAGTTCAAGTTTTGATCTCAGTTGTTTAAAAAGATACATTTGAAAACACAGATTTTGTTGGGCACTATTGGTGCACACACTTGCACACCATTTTGAGTAGGATGGGGAAAGATTAAGCATGTTCCATTAACATAATTTCTTAATTTAACCAAAATTTTGAAGACAATAAAGCTAGTAAGCTATGATGAACAGAATGAATTTTGACATTTTTGCAAGAACGAATTTGCATTGGGCTAGTGTACAAGCCCAAGCTCAGCCAAGCATAGACAAAACAAATTCAACAATCTTAACATATTTTTTACCAAGCTAAGCTTGCTTGAAACCTTGATCTTCAGCTTGACTTTTCATATCCAGTTTGCTTCTCTACTAAATGCTAATTATTGAGAGGCTTACGCTGCTATGCATCTCTATGACACCAATAACAATGTATTACTTAAAAATGCTTACTAGCCAGGTTTAGCAAAGCTTAAAACTGTTCTAATGGTGAAGAAAAGGTGTTGCCAATCCAACATAATGAACCAATAAGCTAATGGTATTGAAACCACTAAGATGCATATGTCAACATTACAGGTTTTTTCAAGAGTAACCGACTTAAAAGGCAAGAAAGCTGAAAAGAGGAAAGAAAATTGAACATACCTTGCTCCGGAAGCAATGACTGCTTGATGCACCTTCATACCATAATAACTTTTGCCACCAAAAGCTGGAAGAAGTGAAGGATGAATATTTAAGATTGATCTTGGATAAGCTTGGACTAATTCAACTGGTATAAGTTTTAAGAATCCAGCCAAAAGAATAAAGTCAACCTTGTACCTCCTGTTTATTAGTAATACATCAGTTAGAAAAAGAAAGCATAAACAAGGTCAAAATACTCTGTTCAACAATTTTTGGAAGTTTATAAGACACAAGGACAAACAACAAGAAGAACATGCTAACATGCTATCTAGCCCAATTGTGTGAACCCCAAAATAAACTACTATTATCTGGAAGAGTAACCTTACCTAAGAGTAGTGACAAGGTCATTTGCAGAGAGATTTTCAAGGTTTTCCTTCATTTTAGGGAACAAAATAACTGGGATGCCATTATCTCTTGCATACTCAGCACCTCCACAGCCTGCAGTACATATGATTAAAGGACAATTGAATAAAAATGCAAAACTCACAAACAACAATTATGAAAAAGATAAATCATATTAACCACACATGCAATTCAGTCCGATTCTTAAATCTCTATATAATTTTGATAAAAAATAAATAAATAAAAAATTAACCCCAAATAACACAACAAGAATAGGTGATTTGAAGAACAAATTATTCAGTGACACGTGTCAAAAAACAAAACAAAAAAGGAAGAAGATAAAACATCCCAAAAAGTATCCCCATATGTGTGCATGTGGAATCCTTGAGAGCTGCCATGTCTAACAATTCAAATGATGGTGATATCGTTATATATTAATTGCTAGAACTCAATGTTAAAAGAACATCACATAAGAAGAAACTCAAGGTTGGAGAATTCTTCAACATCCAAACTCCTTTGGGCAAAGGTACTTAAAGGAATCTACTTTCCTAGGTCGAATTTCCTACATGCATCTAGAGGTTCTAAGGCTTCCTGGTTCTGGTCTAGCCTAAGGTTTAAGATGGCAGATTTTCAATGGTGAAAAAGTTGATTTCTGGGATGATAAATGGCTTCCAAACACTCCTGGTTTCAGAATCCAATCCTCTAGGCCTTCGGGGTGTTACATTTCGAAGGTTAGCGAGGTCATTAACCCTTCTTTCAAATCTTGGGAAGAGTCAAAATTGAGAAACATTGTCAACCAGGAGAAGGCAGATCTGATTGGGTGTATTACCATCTCAAAGCAAGGTTTTGAAGACAAGCTTGTTTGGCATTTTTCACCGACGGGACAATTCTCTGTCAAATCAGGTTATCAAGTGGATCACCAAGATTTTCTTCAGGGTAAAATTAGAGAGTCATCATCATATCAACCCTCCACAAACCTCTGGAATTCCATTTGGAGTTTACCCTCCCAAGGTGCGGCATTTGTGGTGGAGAGCGTGCGGAAATTGCCTTGCTACTAAAGAAAGTCTTTTCAAAAGGAAGCATTCCTCTCTAACCTCTGCCCTATCTGTTGTATCAAACGAGAATCTGTGGGACATATGCTGTTTGGATGGTCTTGGACCACTGAAGTTTGGTTTGGTTGTGATCTGAACTACAAGGTTGTTAAGACATCTATCACTTCCATGACACAATGGTCTGCTGCTATTTTTTAGGACAAAGGCAGCAGCAATGAGAACCCCCATAGGACGGGTTATATAACTATGATAGCTTGGCATATTTGGAAGGCTAGGAATGAATTTGTTTTTAATAGTATTCCTCCAGATCCATACTTACCTGCCCAAATAGCAACCCATGTTGACAACCAGTTTCTTTCAACCAACTCTTCACCAACAAACTGGTCTCCTCCTCCAATGGGTGGTTTCAAATTGAACTGTGATGTGGCCATGGACAAGGAGTGCAATAAAGTCTCCATTTCTGTTGTTATCAGGAATTGGAAGAGGGATTTGATTGATGGCATTGCCAAACCAGTCCTAATTTCTTCGACCGTGCAAGGTGAAGCGTTAGCTGTTCGGGAGGCTTGTTTGTTTGCCAAAACAATGGGTCTTATTCCAGCCTATGTCGACAACGATAGCTGGAGTGTGATTCATTTGTCTCTGAAACAGTACCACCCTGGGAAAGAATGGCAATTTTTCAAGACATGTAAGGATGTGTTACAGATTGATTTCAACTTCATTTGGAGGCCTCGGGTTTGCAACAAAACAGCTCACTGGGGTGGCTCGAGCGCACTTACATGGCAAGCTTTATGCGAATTGGTGTTTGAACCCAACTCCTGCACTTTCTAATTGCCTTCTGTTTGATATTTCATGTCCTCCTTTGTAGTCTCTCTTTATTATAAAAATAAAAATAAAAACTCGATGTGACATGCTCTTTTGAACAGCAAACAATTCCTACACTTCTCTGTTCGTGGTCAACTATCAAACTGGACACATTGTCCAGTAGTCAAGTAAAATTGGACATTTTTTAATTACTTAAAAAGTTAAGCTACAAAACCATCATATCCCATTGTAATTTGAAGATTTCTGCCAATTTGAAAATCACAAATTCTCTTTTATTTTGCAGGTGAGAGGTTTATGAAGGAGGAAAAGTCTCCAATTTCTTCACCTCTGGTATGCCCTTTCAACATAACTCCTTCATGGATTTCATTGTTTAGTGAGGTTAGAGTAATGAAATTGCCACAGAGAAATACACAGAATAAATCCAAAATACACATTGCTTTACTCTTTTATTGCTAGCCACCCAATAACAAGAGGACTGGTGGGGGTCAAACTAGTAGTAAATTAAGAGCATCTTCAATGCTTCATCTTTTCTTTCATAAAATTTAAATTTGATGAAAAAGTATTCAAAAATCATCTCCAACCCTTTCATCAAATCAAGGGAGAGTCATTTTTTTCATCAAATTGAGAATTCATCAAATCTGATAAAAATGGAAATTTGGGGTAAGAGGGGAATTTTAAAAAGAATTCAATGAAACTATTGGAATAGTTCATATCAAATCAAACTTTTTAATCAAGTCCAGAATCAAATAGATGAAAAAATAGGTGAATAATGAAAAATAGAATAAGATGCTAACATTGAAGATCAATCGACTACAAAGAACAATTTTTTTTCATCAAAATCAATTTGGGTAGTGAAAAATAACAACAAATAAATAAAATTAACACAACATATCATAACAGTTGAAAAAACTTCTAATGAAGTTTAGTGTTTGTAAAACTATGAAAACCCAATTTGATAAAAACATTACATTACTAAATTAGAACATACCAGGTTTGTTGGTGACCAAAACAACAATCTCTCCATGTATGGATCCCCCAAGAATGGATTCGTGAATGGACCTGAAATTCGAACCTCCACCAGAGACAAAAACCGCTAGATTTTTCTTCCGAATTCCAGTTTTCAAATCTTCATAATCACCGGAAACAGGTTTTACATATTCCGGCAAACTATTTTTACACTGTAATTTGGTTTTAAGCCAAAGAAATTTTGAAGAGAGAGGATAAAGGGTTTTGCAACAGAGCCGTTTTGGGCATAGAATCTGTGAGGAGGAAGAGGAGCGACAGTAAGAAGAAGAGGAGGGAAGTATGGGAAATAATGAGTTGTTAGGGTTTTGAATTGGGCAAAATCCAAAAAACAAGTTTTGAGTTTCCATTGATGAAGTGTTTGCGTTTGGAATTTGAAGTCGTTTAGAGAGAGACAGTGGGCGGTTTTAGGCGATATTCGTTCCTCTCACTCAAACTCTGTCTACATTCCCCTACAGGCTTCCGGTAGTGCCGGCTCTTTACTCTGCTTTCCGATTTTTCGTTCGGCCTCCACTCGTAAAAGGGAAAATGCTAGAGTTCCTAAATTTTTTACTAAATAAATGATCAAATGTCTTACATTGCGGACCCTATACCATGTAAGACATTTAATCATTTGTTTAGTAGAAAATTATACCATGTGAGACATTTTATTTAAGAAAAAATTTGCTATCCCTAACATTACTCCTAGTAAAATGGCTTTAGCCTTGCAACGAACTTGCCTTTAAAGCCTTGAAAGAGTTTGATCTATGATACGCTTCTATTTTAAGCCCAAAATATTCACTTTTAGTTTAAAAATAAAAAAAATCACCCAAAAACTCCTTTGTTTATCTCTATTTCAAAAACTATTTATTCCATTTTTTTGTTGTTGTGTATTTGTTAGTATTTAGTGAATTTTTAAAGATTTTTTCATAAATTTTATGTTTTTAAGTGTATTTAGATTGAATGGATTTAAAAACTATATATAAAAAAAAAATTGTATATTTGTTACTATTTAGTAATTTTTTAAATGATTTTTTTATAAAATTTATACATTTTAAGTGTATTTAAATTTAGTAGATTTAAAATTTGAATTTTTTTATTGTATCTTTGTTACTATTTAGTAATTTTTTACAAGATTTTTTAAATAAATTCTATACATTTTAAGTTTATTTAGATTGAATAGATTTAAGAGTCTTAAAATAAAAACCAAAAAGAATTGTACAGTTTTTTGTATAGTTGTTAGTATTTAGTGACCTTTTTTGGAAAAAAAAATTCATAAATTTTATACGTTTTAAGTATAAAAAGTTGCATATTTGTTATTATTTAAAGATTTTGTGAAAGATTTATTTCATAATTTTTATACATTTTAAATGTATTTAGATTGAGCATAACTAAAATTGAAAAAAAAAATTGTATATTTTTTGGTAAATTTGTTAGTATTTAATGATTTTGTGAAAGATTTATTTTATAAATTTTGTATGTTTTAAGTGTGTTTAGATCAAGTAGATCTAAAAATTAAAAAATATTAATTAAAATATTTAAAAATTTCACTACAAACAATAAAATCCGAATTAAAATTCAAAAATTATTTTTAAAAATTCTAAAACCAAACAGAGTTTTAAAAATTATTTCACAATCACCAAACCTAATGAGTTTTGGATTTTCAATTTTTTAAAAACTATTTAAAAATTTTATATCAAACAAATTTTTAAATTTTGAAAACTTTTTTCACAAAGTTAAAAATTGATTTTAAAAACCAAACCAAAACGTGTTTTTTTTTATTTTTAGTGTTTTTTTAATATTTTACTTAATATTTTATTTTTCAAATACACTTAATCTATATGCACTTGCAAAGTACGGAAAATTACAAAAAAAAAAAAAAAAAAAAAACCAACGGTTTGACCTTTTTAACAAATTAAACCTTATTTTTTTAAAATTTGTCAATTTTAAATCCTAATCTTTTGACTTGGTTTCAATAGCAATCATTTGTCTATCTTCTTAAGTAAATTAACGAAAAAAATTTGTATTTTATTGATTAAACTCACTGAAAAATGAATCGAAATACTTTAGAGTTTGTTTTGTTATAAATCTCAAACCCTAAGTTTTTTTTCGTAATTGTTCGTAGTAAGTATAATATTGGGATAATTACATTTTACAGCCTATGGTTTCATGCGTTTTCACATTACCTCCCTCACATTGATAAATATACTCATAAACTCTCTGTGATTTTGACTGAAGTGCAAAAGTGATGGGACATGAAAAAATTATTGAAAGGACTAGAATACCTTTATTTTTTTCTTCAATTTTCTTATAAATGCCATTTTACTTTCATTTTTCTGGCACTTAAACTCTCTATAAACTCAGTCTCTCTCTATGTGTATATATATATTATATAAATATGAAATGCATCCAACCCACAAACCCATCTCTTTCATTTCTTATTTGGGTAATGCTCTCTCTCTCTCTCCTCGCGTATATATATATATATAGAGAGAGAGAAATGTTAGGGATCATGAAAGACTTTTCATGAAAATGATTATGAAAGATTTGTGATCCTTGGATTACCTTAATTAGTGTGTGGTGTTTTATTCTAAGTATAATCCAAAGGTCACAAATCTTTCATGATCATTTTTATGAAAGACTTTTTATGATACCTAACATTGCTGATATATATATATATGATATAAAATCTACCAAGGTAATGCTCTCACTCTCTATTTCTTCCCCTACATTAATTCCTCCCTTGTGGGGGTTGGACTTGTGAATCAAACTCATTAATGAGTAGGCTGCTAAGCAACTCAACATCCTCAAATGAATATATTTTACTCTCCTCCAAAACACAACCACATCAAGAAAAGAAGAGTTGGTGAACTTTAAGATAAGGATGAAGAAAGATGATAAGGGTTGAGTCTTTGATAACTTAGACTCTTAAGATAATTGCATATATAAAGATGGTCAGATCCCTAATCCTACATAACAATCATCACGATTCCATCTAAAGAGACCATACGAGGTGAATAGAGTAAAAGTCTTACGTTCATCTTGTTGTCTCCATAACCAACAAAGAATGAAACACTGTTATTGATAAACTACACAATCAATTTCATGCTTCAAAACCTACAGGATACAACAGATTTGTTTTACTGTTTCTACAATCTTGGAAATCAACTAAACACTATGAAGTAATTCCCTCAAAGATCCAGAGAACACCAAACAAGCTCCAAATAATATAAAGAAAGAAAAAAGGACCAAAGGTTCCCAACCAACCCTTCCAAGTGGCCTTGAGCTTTTAAAGCCATGCTTTGCATATATCTCTCTCTCTCTCTCTAGAATCTAGAGAGAGAAAACTCCCCTATTCCGATGTAACAATGGTGTATCTGCTGTAATCTCTGCTCATTATGATGAGAATGAGAGTGAGAGTGTACTTGTAAGGTAGTGCTTTTGAGTCATCATCTTTGGCCGTTTGTTTTCTTGATTTTGGAACATATGAAGAGAGAGAAAGAGAGAGAGAGAGAGAGAGAGAGTTAGTAAATTGAATATGTATGATTGTTTCTCAAACAACTATTCATCAATCTTGGATGGGATCCGTCAGTTGGTGGGTTGCTGTTTTGTCACTGAACTGGCGATGTGGTACGTTTACCGACGATGTAATTGGGATTTTGAGTGTTTTGATCTGGCGCTGGGCTGTCTATTTGTTTTGGTCTGTGTGTCTTCGTGCTCTGAATTGGATATTGTTGGTCAGCCATTGGTGGGTTCCAACTACAATACTGGAGCTATATAGGCATGTTTCTGGCGCTGGTTTCTGGACTGCCGACGCCATTGCTATAGTGTTGATAACAAGGTGTGTGATGGTTGGACGACCCATGGGGATCGGGGGGAAGAAAGTAGAACGGCAAATTGGTCACTCAACACTCTAAATTTGGACCCAAAAAGTCAGGTCTTTTCAGGTTGTTAGTAGTGTCCATATTTTACTGAGTTTGTTTAGTCAATTGGGTAGTTGTTGCTGATATTATGCTAGTGGCTGTAGTGGTCTAAGTTAGTGCCTTAGTGGTACATAAAAATCTGTTTGGTTGTTTTGGTTGTAAGCCTATATATAGGCACATTTGCTTCAGTATTTAAATTTGAATGAGAGGACCCAACAGTTCAGTTTTTATATATTTCTTTGCCTCTGTTTTCTTGTTTTTTGCCTCTGTTTTCAGTGTTATTCTTTTTTATCTCCAACAAATTTGGTATCAGAGCTTTGTTGAGAGAGTGAGAAGACAGGGTAAACACGTGAGTTGAGTGAAACACCTGAGAGGAAAAACCAATGGCCAGCAACGACAATGCAATGAGTGCTGCACAACCACTCATCCCTGTCTTTAAGGGAGAAGACTATGGATTCTGGAGTATCCGAATGATGACCCTATTCAAATCTCAAGATCTTTGGGATTTGGTAGAACAAGGCTACGCAGATCCTGATGAAGAAACAAGATTGAAGGAGAATAAGAAGAAAGATTCGAAGGCGTTGGTGATTATTCAGCAGGCTGTTCATAACAGCATCTTCTCACGAATTGCAGCGGCAAGCACATCGAAGCAAGCTTGGTCAACTCTGTAGAAGGAGTTTCAAGGTGATTCAAAAGTTATCGTGGGGAAATTGCAATCACTACGGCGTGACTTTGAAACCTTGTACATGAAGAATGGAGAATCAATTGCTGATTTTTTGTCTCGGGTCATGACAATAGTCAGTCAAATGCGATCGTACGGCGAGAAGATTTCTGATGAAACGGTTGTTGCAAAGGTACTAAGAAGCTTGACTCCAAAGTTTGATCACGTTGTGGCTGCCATAGAAGAATCTAAGGATTTTTCAGTTTTTTCCTTTGATGAACTGATGGGGTCCTTGCAAGCACATGAGACAAGAATTAATCGATCACTTGAAAAGAATGAAGAAAAGGCATTTCAAGTGAAGGACATAGTCACCAAAGCTGCAGAAGGTGACAGTTCGACAAGCAGAGGCCATGGAAGAGGAGGATTCCGTGGTCGTGGTAACGGGAGAGGCAGAGGTCGCTTCGATGGGCAATGGCAGTCCGGTGAGCAAAGAAACTACAAGAATGGTGTTCAATGCTATCATTGTAAGAGGTATGGTCATATAAAAGCTGATTGTTGGTACAAAGACCAGCAAGTGAATTATGCAGCAGAAAATGGAGAAGAAAGTAGTAAGCTTTTTATGACTCATTTTGATCCTAACAATACGTCAAGCGATGTGTGGTTCATAGACAGCGGCTGTTCAAATCATATGACAGGGATGAAATCCTTGTTCAAAGAGCTTGATGAGACGCAGAAGTTGAAGGTGCAGCTGGGAAATGCCAAAGAAATGCAAGTTGAAGGGAAAGGTACAGTGAGCATTAAAACTACCCATGGTAACATAAAGCTCTTGCATAATGTTCAATTTGTACCTGATTTAGGATATAATTTGCTAAGTGTTGGGCAATTAATGGCTGCTGGATATTCCATCTCATTTGATAATGATGCATGTGTTATTAGAGACAAGCACTCAGGCCATACGTTGATCAATATCAACATGA